TCACGCTCGCTGGATCTTACGTGGGTGACGCCATCTTGGATTCACAATCACGAGGTCAAAATTGTTTACATCATAAATATATATTTTTTCACATTTTGATCTCAAAAAACAAATACAATATCAAAAATACTGACAAAAATCAAAACTTGGAATAATAGTACGACTACATTTCTAAAAATAATAATGAAAATACGTTTTGTACACACCGGAAACGTGTGGCTTTTGACCCCAAATGTGACTATATCATTTGCATATGAATATACGTTTTGCAAAGAGCGTTTGACACCGGGGCTTACGGCTTTGTCTTTATAGAACTGCTTTGTTTTTTTAAAACGATATCCAACCAATGAGAAACAACAGGGGATTATCCCGGGAAATTGGCGTTAATACAATGCATTTGTAGATTTAACTAGTTAGCCAGGAAACTTTACAGTCTGTGAGAGACTGAAGAAATCAGATCACGGGATAAATAATAGCATCGCGGAGGAAACACATAGCGTCGCGGGTAAATCCGATCGCGTTGGGGCCCGCGACGCTGTTTTGGCCTGGGGAGAACACTGCTATGGCATCACTGTAATGGTTTCCACAGTATGAGTTTGCCATGTTCAAACCATGTAAGACAGAACCAATGATGCCATGCTACCCCCTTAGTGTAGTAGGTTATGTATGTTACCAAACCAGTATAAACATGTAACTGAAAATACTTATTTCTAAGTGTACACTCTTTTACCAACTTGGTGAAAATCTATAGTACTGTTTAAATATTTTCGCTTGGAATTAATTTTCGCTATTTTCGCCGAAGAAATGATTCAGTGAAAATAAAATTCAATGAATATACATTTTTCCCTTATATTTTACATTCAATTCGTCAAAAATCAGTGAAAATAAATTCCATGCAAAACACCCAAACTTCTTTTCAGTGAATATTATTTCCAGCTAAAATAATGTATTTTACAGTAGTGCAAAAAGATATTTTCAAATGACCTCTCATCATATATTATATCGGTGGTTTATCCAAAATATGAAATGAAACTTAAACTGTAGCTATGTGCCATTTTATACTTACACTCTAAATTTGGAGGGGGAAAACACCAAACAAAGTTATATCTACAAAAAAGCATTTTCAGCAAAAAATTTGGTAAAATCTGGTTTGTTTTTTTCAAACGGTGTAATTTTACCATAAATGGCTTATGTATCTTATGGTTGATAATAGGAGATCCAAAAAGCATTTTGTATAGACATCTACATGTAATTTACATACAAACATACACTAATGAAATACATTTACCAATTCCTAAACTTATTAAGATATTTATCAAGTAACTTAAATTTATACCATGACATAACACATTTAAATGCATAGTTTTGAGAGATTGAAAAGAGTTCGAAAGTAGCTGGTAATGCTGAATAATCAGTATTCAAACCAAAACAAATATTACAGAAATATATTTGTCATAATATAATGATACAAATATAAGATATTTTCTCATTATTTAGTGCCTTTTAAATTTAAAATCACAATGCCATTTTGCATCAAATAGCGCAAGAAAAATCAGTAACCACTATGGGGAATTTTCATAGATTCAAATAGAGAGAAGCTTTATGCAAGTCATTATGTTTTGCACAGACAGATTCAAAATGGCCGACAGGTGACTAAGTTTGACCAGCATAATGAAAAAGAAACATACAACAAGCCCTACCTTTGAAGTAGGAACATTAACGGCCGTAACTTTTCCTTGTTCATCGCCAACAAATACTTTTGAGTTGCTATAATCCCAGAGTAAAGCGGTTACATTGGTGTCTTTATGTTCTAGTGAAGTTGTCAGTCGCTCTGCTTTGGTTCGTTTTTCAATGTTTGTCAACTCCCATACAGCAACTGTACCACACCTAAAAAATAAAGACAATATTTAATCACAACATTAGATACTCCCACTAATATACCCTCCTATTATCGCAATGGGATTCAGAAATTTGCCCTCGATTTTCTATTTTTACATATTTTTTCATCATAATATTTCCAGGTGATCAAATTAAGGAAATCAGTCAGTCTACCCATATTATAAATAACTTGAGAAATAAAAACTCACCTTGTTGAAAGTGCCAACAGGTTTTCATTTGGAGCAAATGCAATATGAGTCAAAAAACCCTCCTGAAAAATAAGTAATTGGTACAATTATTAAGTCTTTCTTCTAAACAATGCCCATTTTTCTTGTCCACGTTTACTAGTAAGCAGGCTATTTTACTGAACTAGGGTGTTCACATGTGATCAAAGTCGAGAGAACAACTTATCCAGATCGATGAGCTTTGTGAATGCATGAGCGAACATTTGGTTCACTATGATATATATAAGGTATGATATCTAATGGCACATTGTACAAAAGAAGTTACATGGTTTAACTTCATTAATACATGTACTCTTGCTTGATGTCTATTGATATTAACAGACTGTTTTGAGGCCTCTGTGTGTACCAGCTCAAATTCCTACCAGACCTTGGCCCCAAAACAGTCCGTTAATTAACAATAGCTGCTTCTTAGTCGTATTCTAACCATCAGTTATAAATCACCAACATTGGAATTACCACCAACATTACAAATTTAATTAACTTTGCATCGTTTTATTGAAATTAATTTACTTAGCAAATATGACAGTATGACAATGTAAAGCTATGACATCATAAAAATCTCTAATTATGATAATGGTGATTTATAATATCTAATAATGCCCTCATTCATGGCAATACAATATACCTTATTAGCCAATAATGCCCTCATTCATAGGAAAAAACATACCTTATTAGCCAATAATGCCCTCATTCATAGCAATACATCCATTATTAGCCAATAATGCCCTCATTCATGGCAATACAACATCCATTATTAGTCAATAATGCCCTCATTCATGGCAATACAACATGCCTTATTAGCCAATAATGCCCTCATTCATGGCAATATAACATACCTTATTAGCCAATAATGCCCTCATTAATGGCAATACAACATACCTTATTAGCCAATAAAGCCCTCAGTCATGGCAATACAACTTACCTTATTAGCCAATACTTGTAAATATTTACTTGATTCTCTGTGGAAGATATAAAGACCACCAGTAGACGCTCCAAATGCAACAAACTGTCTACATACAGCTACACATGTGTACTGAAGAGAAAAGATAATACCGATAACTGAGAAAACTTGATTATTTTGAAAAAAAGTCTGTTTTTTAGAAAAATACTTTGAAACATACATGGTGTATCATTGCTTGTCAGAAAAGCAACCCAAAAAAATAAAATTATGGCAGAATTTGTGATGTAGACAAGACTTGCAGTTTTCATTTGTTACCATCATAGATGCTGTTAAAATGCTTTTAATACTTGTTTCACATTTTAAAAAGTGTTAATCATCTTTTAAAAAATGCCATACAATGGAATAAACGCTAATATATCCTACTACCGGCTTCGGCTGATACCCCACCCATCCTAAACCCCGCCCATGGGCGATGTTTCAAATAGTGGGCGATGTTTTGGGTCACACATTGCCTGACTGAACCAACAAACATTTTTACAGACCCCAATTTTCCCGTCCGAAATCTTGTATCGAGCGCACTATTTCAAATATGACGCTAAAATAATTCACTGAGAAGCCGAAAAGCATTAAAAACTTCAATAAAACCAATGCTGTATACGAATTGTTGTTGCATATTATTACACTCGAATAAAGTCTACGCTTGAAAAGAATGTTATTTATGAAGTTTAAAATATCCAAGCCTTCCTGGTTCGAGCCTCTTGGTTGTTATCAGTAATGTTTAATCTTTGTCTGTATCGCATTCCAGACGAAAAGTCGGTAAACAAGAAATGGGCGAACTAAAATGTCTCCTGCGTTTCACATGCCACATGATTATTAAAAAACACAGAGTTAAGCGGTCATGTACATTCCATAAAGCTAACCTTGTACACATAATCTTGTACTGACGTGTTTTTTCTCCAAAAAAGACGTTCTCTTTCAGTTAACCCCCAGTTAGCTCTTCGCGTTCATGGTATTTGTGAGAGTTGAAAGATTTTTTGAACACATGACAAGTAACTATATTGATTTGCGTCAAGCTGGGTGGCCCGAATTTAAATATCAGTGCGTGAACTCTGGAGGTCATTGCCCAATGCCGCACGTAATTCAAATGCGAGTTCAGTCGAAATGTACGTGAATATTGCGATCGAAGTGCGCTGTCGAGTTTATTATATTATAGTAAAATTTAACTTGACGCATGGTATGGTTTATATTACATGTTCACTTCATTTCGAATAAAAAAATCACCATTGGAACATCGATGAATCACAAATATTTTCTCGACTTTCCGTAGATACCCGACTACTATCATTTTTAATGATTTAAATGCGCCAATGTTTATGTTTGCGTAATTATTACGAATGCAACGCATTATCAAGTCGGTAATATTGAAATATTCACAGACCCAATACCCCGGGTCAGCATCTTAACAATAGTAAAAATTAACTTGAGTTTGCTTAATTATCATGAAAGCAATACATTACAAAGTTGAAATATTCAGAGCTGGTACAATATTGTAAACAAATTTGTGTAATTAGAAAAGCAGTGCACTAAGTAAACGACGTTGATATATTCAAAGCCAGTACAGAGTTGCATACAAGTTGCGTAATTACAGTACCATCGGGTATAATAACAATTTTACTAGGTCGACGCGCGGACCGCAAAAGAAAAAGGTTGCTAAGGTAACGTGCCAGTTCAGTGCGTGACTTGGGGTCAAACTTCGGTCAACACACACTTGATGCCAGCATCACCGCGCAGCAAGTTTCGCAAAGAAGTACTTCAAGTTCAATTGCGTCCCAAATTATGTCGCTAATCACTCAGTTGTCGCAGCGTGTGTTGTGTCATGTCCATGATGCACCCCGTTTCGACTTTGACTTGCTTTTCCTTCTTAGTGCATGTTCTTGTTCACATAAAATGCGACCTCTCACCAAATGTATTAAAACACTTTGAATTTATACTTTGCATGATTATATTTGTTCAACGCGAAACATTATTTTTTCTAGACCATTTCTATCAACGCAGGGTTATTTTTTCAGACGAGATGGGCTTCGTAATATCTGCCAAAAGATCACCCGGGTGATCTTTTGGTCCACATTTTTCTAAACAAAAATCGAATCCTCCATAAGATCGCCCAGGGCGGGGTATGAGTCGAATCCGGTATAATGCCTTTGTTCAGAGATCAAAACAATTTTTAATTTCTCTAAAGTCAAACTTATTCTATTTTGATCAACTCAAATAAATGTGTTTTTGAAGCAGCAGTAACTTCCTATTATTTTCTGGACATGTAGTATGTACGAGTTGGCAAACCACAAATAAACAAATTATTGAAGAATAACAAAAATTTTTAATTTTTGAAGACAATCAATTACAAAAATCAGGCAAGTAATTTGGTGGTCAAACGAGTTCAGGTATATCAGGAAGAGGACTATAATAAAGGCAAGATACATTTTCATTTACTGTTAAGTACCAGTAATAACAACTAACCAATGTTCATGAAACCACTCCCCATAATTCTAAACTGACTTTGTCACATAAATTATTATTAAATCACGACAGCTGTTGATACTTGTATGATGCAATAAACGTACTGTCATGTGACCAGCATTCAAAATACCAAAAATAGATAATGGACAAGGACATGCAACATTCATAACATTATGCAAATTCAGTTGTGACTACGCTACACAAACTTGCATAGGATATGGACAATTTTTAAGTAGTGTTCTATATTTTTTTACACATTTTGCTACAGATTTTTATTGAAATTTTGGAAAAAAATCGATGAAAAATTATGGTGATGAAAGTTGACTTTAGAGAAGAAGGCAAAATAAAGAGGATATCAAAGATGACGATATAAACACACATTAGTATTACCGGTACCACAACCAGAAATAAATCATAACACTTTTGTCCACATATTTCTTGAATCCAAAAACTTCTTGTGATCTTTAAATAAAATTTCACTCAAGTTACAAACCCTTATTAATTATCTACTCCTCAACATATACAAAACTTTAAAGGTAACATGTAACGAGTAGAACTCACCTTTATTCTGGAGAATCCTATAATGGGCTGCAGTAAATCATTGGTAGTATTAAATTCAGCTAAAATATATCGTCTGTTTGATGTTTTATCTTCCATATTCTTTTTAGATTGAAGTTGAATACAACTTTTATAACCATCCCATTCCATTCTGTGCCAGTAAACAAGATAATATTAGTTCAAAACGACATTGCATAATAAGATTTGAATAAATGCGTTGTTAGTTTCAGTTGGGATCTCGGCACATGCCGAAATCTTTAATCCTTTGTGTTTACAGAGAGTTTACAGCAGTTGCGTTCACATTAGTCGGGACCCATTTCGTGCATTCGTCGATCTGTTATTTGACCCAAACATTGAAATTGATACGCATATGATGATAATAATAATTGTTATATTGAAATTATATCTATTTGCTGTTGTTATTTTTTTTCCCTGACGATGTAGCATTACATAAATATGCGTCACTAAGGATGGTTTGCACTCATTTCATTAATTACTACAGAAATCCGACCATATTATATCTGTTCTTCCCTCCATCTTCTTGTCATACTAGTATGAATCAGTATAGATTTACCACCAAGAGTGTGATTTTGATTCAAGCAGAGCATTCAGGCAACAAATCTTGGCATTTGCTGAGTTTCGGTCCCGAGCATCTATCGGGACAGAGATCAAGTTTTTTTCCGGCACATAGCAACTTGGTCCCAACCCTTCACATACACATTTCGGAATGTGCCGACTCTAACGTGAATGTGACTAATCTCACATGGTATCTTTGTTATTCAGTTTATTTCATTCAGCCTTCTTTGTGGCTATAATCATAATATAAAATAATTACTACTATAAAATTAAAATAAAAACATTTATCTATTATTTGAATTTGGATACTTGGATTAAAGTGCATACTACGCACACACAGTGTGAAAGTACAGATAATTAATAATAACACAATAAGGCTGAAATATAATAAACATAGCTCATGGTTATAAGTAGTACCTCATTATTATTATACTTTTTTTTTGTAATCTTTTATTTATAGTAATATTATTGTAATTTTCTCTTTATTGTTGTATTTTTCTTACCATACATTACCCACAGATGGTAATTGTTGAGTAATAAAGTTATTATTATTATTACAAAAAGCCTTGAACTATGACCAAGCCTAAATTTAGGATTTTTGTTGTCCTAGTGCTAATGAGTTCCACAAAGAATACACTGTGAGTTTATAACACATCACATTATGTGGTATGTAGATAGCAGGTCATAGGTCATCAAACTATTTTAGCAAACAAGACACTCTCCCACTGCTTCAGTTTCCAATTAGGTTCAACCCTAAACTTATCCAGACAGGCAGCCAACCAAATACTAGTAAATGATATTGTGCATGTTTTAGACTGTTTAATGTACATTTACATTAGAATGTAATGCCAGCCCCTAAGGTATTTGCTGGCTCCTTGGAAAGAAATTGTGGTTGCCAAAACAACTATTTAGTAGCCACAGTTTAAACTTGCTCACACTACATGAAAAAAAGAAACATTTGTACATATCTTGTATAAGATTTGCACTGTCAACAAAAAGATATTATTAAAATTAATAACATATAACTTTATTAACTTATTAACCAAAATAAAGAATTCTATTCTATAATTAACTTGTTGTAACCTGATAACAAACTTGTATGTATACTGCAGTAACATAAAAAATGGTTAGATTTTAGTGGATGCTTCCACCTTTTCTGGAACCATAATTGTACACTGTAGGTCTACTTATAAAAAGTTAACAAAATTTAATTTAAACAGTTAAAAAAAAATGATGTTTTTATTGTGTTTTTGGTCTGTCAAAAGTATCTTACTTTGGTGTATGAGGGGATGGGTGGTGTATGATACTGCATGAAATAACTTTTGTTGTTTTGTTTAACACCGCTATAAGGCAAGCTAGGGGCGGTGCAGTGCACGGAATCTGTGTATAAAAACCTATATCAAATGAAAACATTGGCATAAAACCTTATCAATTGAAATATATTAATAGCATGAAAGATTTTGGGAAAGACTTTCCCTAACTTCTATTGCCCTCTCAAATTAATTGCATATGCTCCTCTTGTGGACACCTATAGTTATCTAGACTGGAGGGCACGGTGATAGAGAAGCTGTGTAGAGGGGCATATACAACTGAATATTGGAGCTGGAACCTTATGGTTAGACTTCGAATAAAGGTGGGGGTACATTGGAAAGCCTTTCCAGATTTTGTCGAACAATGTACTGAAGTTACGATTACGAACAATATTATTACAGACAAGTTCTGGC